AGAAGACCGTGCTGATGACTCTTCTGTTATTGTGTTAGCTGGCTCTTGTGAAATTACTGTAAAGTAATCCAGATCCAGGCAACACCTACGGGAATATACCCATAATGCAACTGTTAAAGCTCCGATTATTATTATTTAATATAGAGCATGTACATGTTTTTCTACTGCTTTATTGTTTTATTTATTATACAAAATAGTTTTGTATTCCTATATTGGTTTGTTCTAAGCTAATTGTAAAACATAATTAAAATGATTGTATCGGCCTGAAAAAAAGTCTGCCATGATTTGCTACATGCTAGTCAGTTTCGGGTGGTGCTTAGAATTTATGGGGGAGACATTCGATTTTGATTGGATGACAGGCTATGCAGTGCAGGATGAGTCATCCATTTTTTTCAGTCCATTTTCCTGGAAGATACGACTCTACGTTTTAAATGCTGTAAATACACGACCTTAAAGCTAACCGGCATGAACCCAAAGCGTCAATTCTCCAATTGTGATTTCATTTGACTTTAATGTTAGCTGTTTGGGGAAAGCAAAGCACTTCATCTTTCTCTTTGTCTCTTTGCTCTTTGCCTCCTCTGACCTCAAGGACGTGGCTCTGCCACAAGGCGTCCTTGTTCTGCCTCTTTGCCTATGATGTCATCTTAGTGAATGTGTGTGAGGACTTTTTTTATTTATTTGTGGCGATCGATGGAGGAAGATGTGAGAGGGAGAGGGCAGTTAATCTCCTACCGTCTGCATGGGGATTCTTAACCTTGTGTGTACAGACGTTTCCTAGATCGGGACGCCCACTCTGAGACAATGCAAAATACACACCGAATTGCTCGCGTAATCTCGGCTCAAGGATGCCGTATTTAGATGGATGGCCATGAGAGGCCATGTGACTCCGGCACAGCTCACTGATTCCAGAGTGAGGGACAGGTGCTGGAGGTCCTGGCGGTGCAGCATCTTGCTGAGAGGAGGAATGCTGGGAAGGGAAGAGAGAGAGAGAGAGAGAGAGAGAGAGAGAGTGCAAGGCGGGTCTCTGCTCTTCCGTTGTTTCTCTCACCTGCTTTCTTTTGTTTTTGTTTTTCGTCCCTCTTTTTATCTATATTTCTCCCTGGTTCTTTGTTTAAAGCTGAATTTTCAGTATTACTCCAATCTTTAGTGTTGCATGGTCCTTCAGAAATCATTCTGATATGCTGATTTGGTGTTTAAGAATTTTTTTATTTTTTTTTTAATTATTATTAATGTTGAAAACAGTTGTGTTGCTTAATATTTTTGTGGAAACCATAAAACAAATCTGGTTTTGTTTTTGTTTTTTTCTTATGAAGATGTCTTTAATGTCACTTTTGATCAATTTAATGCAAAAATTGATAACCATGGATTTTATTTACTATTTTAATATTTTATTTACTATTTTAATATTTTATAATAGAATTAAACTAGTTCTACATATGAATATTATATATATATATATATATATATATATATATATATATATATATGAAGAGTTCCGATGCAAAAGCCTCTAAATGCCATTTGAAATTTATTGAACTTAAATATACAAGTTTGATAAAAATCATCATTAAAGAAGAAAATTTCATATAGCATTTAGAGGCTTTTGCATCTGAACTCTTCATATATAGTAGTGAAACATTTTTTTGTAAACATTATAATAATATTTATTTTTTATATTTATAATAATATTTAGTTTATTTTATTTATGATATTTAAAGGGTTAGTTCACCCAAAAATGAAAATTCTGTCAGTATTTACTCACCCTCATGTTGTTCCAAACCTCTATGTGTTTATTTGTTCTGCTGAACACAAAGGAAGATATTTGGAAGAATGTTTTAATCAAACAGATCTCATTCCCCATTGACTACCATAGTATGAGAATGAGATCCAAACACATAGAGGTTTGGAACAACATGAGGGTGAGTAAAAAAATACTGACAGAATTTTCATTTTTCGGTGAACTAACCCTTTAAGAAACCTTTGAATATAAAATTGAGTTATGACTTTTGATTGTTGCATCAAAATAAGCTTCAAATATAAAGACACTAAAATTTCTTTAGATGTTTTTTTTATTTTTTTATGTGCTGTTTATTTGTGAACAGCTTATATTGTAACAGTCTCTGAAAGAGGTTTGCACCAGCAGCATTCTAGTGGAAAAAAAGGGGTATTTGTTTATCCATTGCCGTTGAGACTCAGTCACAGAGGCAAGAAGTCCTTTCTTCCTCTCCCTCTGCTGAGAGAGATTTCCAAATGAGCGAGCAGGGGTGGCAAGGCCTCTGGTGCTGTGCCCGGCCCCCGTCGGCTCTCTGACGCATTAATCATCAGGCTGCCATCCATCCCTTCCCACACGCCACATTCCACTGCTGCTCCCATCCAACCAGCATTTTACCCTTCATTAGCACTAGTATCATCACAATTTACTTATCCATACGTTTGTGTGAACGCTTCACGGCTCCTCAGCGTACACAGAGAGTGGGAGGGGTCTTTGTGGCTCAGGGGC